ACACAGTTTGGATGGAAAACGTGATGTGAATAAGTCCTGAACTTGTGGCTGTAGGTGTTGGAAAGTTACAATGGTGGACGTCTGTTAGGGTGCCTGGCGCACACTGGTGGTTGGCGGCAACCGGTTTCGGATTTGCATGTCACTGTGGCCAGCCACAGGATGCCTGCGCCTACAGAAAGACCGTGGGTGGCTTGCGCTGCACCACCCACAGCTCCATCCACCTACCCCATATCCAGTGTAAACCCGAAGGAATAAGACCGGGAAGGCATGTTGGTTGGGAGTCCACCGGTTTCACGTCACGGAGCCGGCCCGGACTTTCTTCACTTGCACACAGCACGCTGTATTTGGGACTCAAGCGCACACAAGGCGGTGGTCTGGACCGTAGTCCGTTCCACACTGAGTGCATTGCAACCACTCTTTGAGCGTAACACGATCACGACGGCTGTGCACACCGTCCACTTCAGCAACGACCAACCGTATCCTGGATTCGGTATGGACAAGGTAGTGGATAGTAGACAGGTAGGTATCTTGTCAACATGAGACTGAGACTGTATTTAAGAGCAAGTAGAAAGGTTTCTGTACAACTCTATCGAATTACGAAAAATCAAAACATTTAGTTGTGAATCATCAGCAGTTGTGTCTGGTCCGTTAATCGTTTATCCTTGTTCGGTTAGGAATTTGTACTAGTGTCATTATTTCCGGGCATACAATGTCTTCTTTTGGCATTGTATGTGCATCGTTTCACAAAAGCACAGTTTTCCGAAATAATCGTCGATACGGGTTTTAAAACACTTCACAGAATCGGCCTCTATTAATCCTTCTGGTAGTGTATTCCATAAGTTTACGATTCTTCGTTCGATACAAAGCTGATGTGATACTTTGTTCATGTTGGGGACCCTGAGTTTGTAACGGTGTCCTCGGGTGTTACAGGGTTCCCGCAGGTGAAATATTGGCCGCAGTATGGGGAAGTGATTTAAGTGTAGTACTCGATGGGTCATAATAAGGTCAATTCTTACTCGGCGATAGGATAGTGTGTAGAGTCCGAGCCTTTCACAACGTTTTTCATACGGAAGCTTTTGTAGACTCGGTATCATTCTAGTTGCGATATGCTGTATTTTCTCCAGCTTTTCAGTTTCCCATTGGGTTATCGGATGGTAAGCTGGGGCACCGTATTCAAGGATTGGTCTAATGAGCGAGGTGAATAGACGAGGGACGGTTTCTTCGGACCATGTGGAGAAACTGCGTCTTAATGCCCAGAGCATACGAAGTCCCGCACGGTACAATTTCTCTGTATTTTCTAGTGATCTCATATCATGTCGTGAGAGAACTCCTAAGTCTCTGACAGATGTGTTGGGATGGAGCAACTGGCCGTCCAAGGTGTATGATCGAGTGGCTGGACGTCTGGTGATACTGATGAACTCCGACTTGCTTGCGTTAAGAGGGAGTTGCATTTCAGTGGACCACGTTGACAGTCGCTCTAAGTCATGCTGGAGGCGAGCGCAGTCGTCCTGGTTCTC